AATAGTTGGCTGGCCTATGGGGAATGCTAACATATATAAGCCTCTGGCCACCAATGCTTGGGGGAGTCTGACGGTGAATGTAGAGCAGAGAGGCACCTATGAAAAATGTTCTGTAATTTTGCTTTTTCACCATCTATCTGTAAATAAACTCAAGCCATCTTTTTAATTGTCTTAGTTATTTCACCCACACTTTTTGTAACACATATTAAACTTAGAGTAAACATAGGTTGGAGCTCTTCCTTCAGCACATTAACTGAGTTAAACAAATAGTGTGCATGCCTTGGTTACATAAAAGCCAACAAACATGATGAAAATGTAAGAAAAATAAATTATGAATAAATTATTTGCATCTTGCAGTTAGCCTGTGAGGTGTTGCTACAAGACTTAAAAACGTACTGCTACAGCCGTCTAGAGCTCTACCTTTATTAAAAATACATATAACTGAGACAACCAGTATGAAATTGTTTTTTATTTATGACAACACATATATCTACATTTATGGACAAACAGAGAGCTCCATTCGTGAACAAACCCACTGCTGTTTTTCAGCTGCGGTGTGTAATTGTTTTCAGGCAGCAGCCAAGGTTTTCCCTCCAGGATCTCCAGGTGGTTCATATTTACTTGTCAGTAGAACCCCTTGGGCCTGGAACAGGTACATAATAAACAAATGCACACATAATCTTACACACAAATCCTACATTGAACTCAGAACTGTCTTTGAAATAAATGTGAAAATCTGTTTTTGGAGTGTTGGTTGTACCTTACATCCTGTCCTGTCACAACACATCTGCAACCAACTGCAACAACTTGGAACCATTCTAGCTTCATTTACAGCAACATTCGTGAGAACCACTGTGATTGCAACAAGCAACATCCCATTAAGAGGCCCAAAGCAGCACAGTAACATCCTGGATGGCACTGTTTTCAGGTGTGCAACTGCATGGTAAAATGTCATTTCAGGAGGTGTAAGTAGGTCAAGTCCTTATCACAACACCACATCAGGACTGAAAGGATAAGGGGAGAATTAGATGCTCCAGCACATGGCTTTGGAGCATGACTCCCATGAGATAAGGCTTCATTATTGTGCTCCATGCTCACTAACTGTACCATTGAAATGCAGTAATGCCAGCCAGGCCTGTCCACTTGGATCAGATGGTAATCTGAGTCTTATCTAGGTCAGTCATTGTATGAGCACACTATTTCATATTCAATCCCTGTTGGGAAATTCCAAATCAAAGACTCAACAAAGACATAACAGAAAGTAAAACACTGGCTCCAGTTTTAATATGCAAAATATTTGTACAATCCTAAAATGTTGTGATGTGAAATAGCAGAACAAGACACATTTGGGGAAATATGTCAAAAATGAATTAGGTTTTAGTAGCCTAATGCTTGACTTGTATCAACCTCTAGTGGCAAACAGGGAATTAAAGCAACATTTCTTCTAGAGCACTGCCTAAATGGATTTATAACTCATATAAATAATCCCATAAATCCCATTTTAACATTAGCTTCGGTTAGCATTAATATGGGAATTTGAGAAAAACAGCCAGCCTAAATGCCTTTAAGCACACATTTAAAGTTTTACACTGCGTTTTTTTGTATAGATTACACAAAGAAGATGTCATGTTATGATGTTAATTAGTAAGGTTTAGATCTATATATAAACATCTATAACATACATTTGATGTTGAGCTCATCTCAGGAGTTATTTTGTACTGAAACACAATGTATAATATAATGTACTCTGACTGGTTTTCCATACTTCCCAGAATGACTTGGAACAGTTTCCAGAAAATGGGTGTGAACTTGACGCTCTGAGCCAATGGTGGGCATGTGGACGCATAAATATAGTGAAGCTATCCGACTTGTTTGTGAACACCGGGGTGTGTCTGTGGTCATGGGCAGGGCTCTGATAATCAAAACACAGTTTAACTTGTGGCTGCTCTGCATTCTGATCCTTGAGGTCGACTGGCAGTGGGTAAATGAAACGTTTTGTTGTTAAACTTTGAGGTAGCTGACTATATTTGTGTACAATCAAACTCAAGTGTATCTGCCTAGAATGATGTCATGTCTTCTTGTTGTCTGGTTTTTCTTCATAATAACAAAAATAGGCCCCAATTGATAGACTTCTCAAACAGAACTGGACCCGCTTCTAGGCGTCTGATAGATCTACTTGCTTATCTTACAGATTTTCATGAAATGATGTCATGAAGTCTAATATTAACCTTATTTTATTCTCTAGTACCATTTCTTAAGCTCTGTCAGGAGAAACTATGAATCTGTGCACATCCATCCATCTTACTTTTTAAATTATCCCTTTTTCAGTTTAATGTACATGCTATTACCTAACCTTTTTAAAGCAAAAAGTGAAACTTACATTTTAAGGCCTCAGTGTAGAATATTTTCACAAGATGCAAGACAGTTGCGATTGTACTCTCTCTGGATATCTGGTACCAAAACCCCCTTGTATATGAAGACATATTTGCACAGTTAACTGCAGTGAAACATGCCTCCTCTCACTTCATAAATTGACATCACCTCTAATGCACCTGAGTTGTGTTCTCAGCAGATGTGGACACATTTAATGCTCGCTGAGGTAATGCATTGCTGCAGGTCTTCCTGCAACACGGACAGTGTGTGATGTTTTTAACGTGTGTGATACAGACTATTACCACAAAGTTACAGTCAGCAATCTCCTTTGCACCAGAGAGGTCAAAGGTCACATGGAGAGCATTCCACTACGGCTCCCCGGAGGCAGGGATGAGGCTGCAGCCATCTGCTACGACCTGCCCTGTTACTCTACAGCTAAATCTGGCGCACGCACACACACACACACACACACACACACACACACACACACACACACACACACACACACACACACACACACACACACACACACACACACACACACACACACACACACACACACACACACACACACACACACACACACACACACACACACACACACACTCTCCCCCCTTTGTGCTTTTTAAGGTATCCACCTGGCTCGCTGGTCAACGGAGATTAAAAACTTGGTGTTGCATTAGTAAATAGTTGTTCGTTTACTGAGTGCTTATTTTTTGAAGAATGCGCATGCATCAGAGCTCGACGAAATCTTCAGCTTTAGCTCAATAAAGTAGCAATACAAACAAAATGACGTCATCAGTAAAAATCCTGCATTTAATCTGTACATTAAGTATTAAGATGTTGATAGTATCTAAAATAAAACTACTCATTGTGCAATATAATTTTACAATTAAGTTAAATGTATAACTGTGTATCATATTTTATAAGCTCATCATACCTTTTTTGTATGCAAAAATATAAATCTGCACAGTAACTACAGCTGTTTAATAAATGCGCAGAGCCTGTTGCAGCCTTTGTAAGTACTTCATTTTACTCTAAAATGAAATACTTACAAAACACAACATAGAGAAGGTTTAACTTCACACTTATTTAAAATCCATGTGTGAAAGGGAACTTTCAAGTTCAATCTAAGTCTAATTTCAGGCCAAATATCAAGATGAGGTTTTATTACTTGAAACATGTTTGTTCAGGATGGGTAGTGGCAGATTCCTGGAATACTCTTCAGACACTGACCTCTGAACCAGGTGTCCTCCTTTTCACCGCGGGAACTGCAGCACCTGTCAATCATTCTGGTTGTCTTGTTATCCAGGTGGTCCAGCCTTTGAAGTTGCAAACTTTTGGTTTTTGGATTAGACCAAATATTGGATAGGAGAGAATTCATATTTACTGTACAATGGAGTATAGAAGAATATGAAGGAATTTACACAGGCAAGTTTTCCTTCACCAGAACTCAGTTCGGCTGTGTGTGTGTATGCTGAGTGTATTGTATGTTTATCAGGAACAATTACAGCTACATGTTACTCCTCACTGATCAGTACTACTTTACTTTGATGTAATACTTTTCATTTATACTGTATTGCTGATTGTATGGTACATCTGCGGTCCACAAATATTTAACAGAAATACATATATAAATCTGTACAAACTCTTAGGTTTAATTATTTACTCAGTGTAAAGATCACAGAGCTTCAATAAAGAGCTGATCCGAAATAAACTATATGTCAATGTGGAGCAAGGTAATTCCCTTTTAAACGGGGGGAACTGTATTTTAAAGACTTAAGATTTATTTACAGCTCTTCCTCTTTATATGATTTATTTGTTATATTATGTGTTGCTCTGTTCAAAAGCATGGTAGTATGATTATTTTGTGGTGTGTAAACAGTGTGAGCTAGCCCTGTTTACCATCATTTAATCAATGGTCAAATGCCATCAACATCATACTCAGATATACTATTTGCTCAGTTTTCATTAGTAAAAGAAGTGCACGTTATATAACATTATAACATCTTACTCTTTGTTACTGTTGTTTTGTAAAAAGCTTGTAACTCCAGCTCCCTAAATATATATGTTTTGGTCACATGGTTTCTCCAGGGGTTTGGAGAATTCTGCAGCTCCTAGAGTCAATTGTGCTTTTTTCAAATTCTCAGTCAGATCATGTCACACATTTCTCTGTATTCATGTCTTTTTTGACTAAATTCAATATTGTTTTTTGTAGCTTCTGAACAGCTAACTTTTGAAAAAATACACATTTTTAACCCATGACACGTGTGTTTAAAGGTATTGAATTTAAACAGAAACATGTGGAAGACAACCACAGCCACTGGTGTCTTGGTCGAATGCACTTATTGTAAGTCGCTTGGGATAAAAGCGTCAGCTAAATGTAATGTAATGTACAGCCAGTGCTCCATGTGTAACGTATTAAGCATTAAGTGCTTCTGCCAACATTACGTTCCAGCTTCATAATTTAGGGAGAGTTGTAGAGGTTAGCGAAAGTTGCTGTGCTGTCGAAGTCAAAGCTTTTCATGGTGGTCCTATATATAATGCTGATGTTCCAGGAAGAAAGGATAGATAGTCAAATCTTTGCCCTCAAAATAACCAACATTTAAATCAAAAGGCGCAAACAGTTTTTGTTTATCTACATTTCTTTGCTAATTTAATTCACAGGGATTTCACAAACAAACATTTCTGTAAAATACACATCTGTAAAATCATTCAGTATCTTCAGACAAATATATAATCACATGACCCTCCATTTTTAAGTATTTGTTGACTTCATTTGAAATGTATAAAATAAACAACTTGGACCTCCTTTCACACAGGAGATGAGAACAACTAAAAACAGATAATAAGCTTGTCTCTTGTTCCTCATTCACATTATAGTTAACACCCACAGGGGGTGTTGGTGCTTCAGTATATTACAGCTATAGACTTCCTTCAGTCAATTCTCTGTGGTCCTATAAGATTTCCTTCAATAAAAACTCTTAAAATGACAACTGAGTACCTAATATCAAGCAAAAATAGATCTCAACTCAGTTACATACATTTGAAATAATATGGACATACTTCTTAAAAGTGCTTTGTTGTAGATGGATTAGCCTTCCTACTGAGGGCTATGCCAAGATGTAACCAGAAAAAAAATAATAAGCATTTGGTTTGTCAGCTGGTCAGTCAAAACATGTTGGAAACCACCATCATAAATCACCTGGAATACCTTTACCATCCGTCTTTTCAAGTAATTAATGAGTTAATTATCTGCTACCTTTCCCCCCTCACCTTCAGCATCACAAACAGCCCCCACCTGCTCACTACTTCAGTGTATGGGGCTTTACACTGCAGAGTCATGGGATGATAGTCTGTGAGAGGTATAGGCCATAGTAGACAATCAGGATCTACAGTGAAACCTACTTCAAATTGAGAAATAAATAGAAAGTCTGTTTGCATAGTCTGGAAGTGATCACTAAATAGAAAGTCAGTTCTCCTTCATGTATGCGGCTGGTGCACGGCTTGATCTTTTCCGCACTCTAAAGCTGATCCAGGATCTTTGCAGGAGGGCATCGCAAAACCGACGAGTCCCAGCGGAGAGCAGCGGTTACCTGGACAGGAAGAAGGCAGCCAGGTTAGTGGACTCTAGATTAAATGGAGGATAAATCAGCAACATACATCTCCCCCCTGTAACAATACATTATGTAATAACTCGACAAAATGTTATACATTTGTACGTCTTTTCCTAATAACAATGGCATTTTGTGATAAAAAGCTTAAACACAATATGTAATATCATTTCTCATCATTTAGAATATTATTTTATATTGCACTGGTTATTTAAAAATGTGGGGGTTGCCATCTTTTATTTGAAAATGAAATAATACTTGCTTTATGTAAAATATATGTCGTAATTTGTACAGATTTGACTTTTTACTTCAGTTTTGACCGACGAAAGATAATATTCTAATCAACTGAACTCATTTTATCTTTTAAAATTCACATTTTGAGTCAGTAGGATTTATGTTACAATGCAGGAAATAAACATTATTATTATAATGTTATTACGTTTTTGAAAGAAGACATCCATTTGACATATTTAGATATAAATATACAATATCATAAACATAGGTCTTCCTTCTACTTAACTGTCTCACACATTTGTTTGATTTAGCTTATTTTGTAATCTATGATTAAATATGAACCTTCATGGATATCAAATTGGCTTAATTTTTCGAATATTAATGTATATTTTTGGTCAATAAAAACATTTGATAAAGCACTGATGACGAAGCGTTGCAGCGTTACCTCTCTCTCAGGGGCAGATTGGGGTTACCGAGGAAGGACAGCTGCTGCTCCAAACTGCACACACGAAAGGCCAGGTAGCACGATGACAGGATGAGGAGGATAATACTGTCGGAATAGAAAGAGACACACAGAGTAGTTAAATGTCTAAGTATTACATTTAAGGATGGTTATGGCATAAAACAAAAGAAATCCACGGTTGATGTGGAGGAAGAGATCTGTAATGTCTTTGAATGAACACAGGGTGGCAGCGTTTGACTTTCAGTTGAGAAATATGAATGTGTGTAGCTTTATTAAATACATTGCGTGTTCTATTTTTCAGCATAAATGTATTCAGAGTGTTCCCTGTTACTTATATTGATTACAATCTTTGATATACCAGGATAACATGTGCCCATGACTGTGGGGTCAGAGGTCACCGTCAGTATACAACATATGACAAACCTTCAGGAGCAGATTCATTGCTCTCTCAAGGACACTACAGCAGACATCTTCACACCCTGCGAGTGAAGGACAGTGTCCCTGATCAATGAGTCACCCTGCTGTGTTGGAGGGCATGGCGCTCACTGAGAGTAATTATTTGATTAATTGCAAAGATTCTTCACAATTAAGTCTCATAGGATGCAGACTCTTTGTGGAAAACACTAAATTAAAAATGTTTTAACACCTCTGAGCCTGTGTGCGTTCACTGACTATTTATATCTGCGTCGTGCTAATGCTCACAGTGTGTGTAGTGTGTGTCAGCTGTTGGAAGAGGTGAAGGTGGTGTGTGTGTGTGTGTGTGTGTGTGTGTGTGTGTGTGTGTGTGTGTGTGTGTGTGTGTGTGTGTGTGTGTGTGTGTGTGTGTGTGTGTGTGTGTGTGTGTGTGTGTGTGTGTGTGTGTGTGTGTGTGTGTGTGTGTGTGTGTGTGTGTGTGTGTGTGCCCCTCTGTATACTCACAGCAAAGTGAAGAACTTGAGCAGCTGGTACTCCATCTGGCCCAGCTCTGCCAGTGGCTCTGCAAAAAGACCTCTGTCTGTTTGCAGGGCGCGCTCTGTAACACACACACACACACACACACGCTATAACATAACACCATTAACAGTGCACACATTTTTGGTGCAAACCCACCTGTTAGCTTTAATGATGTGACAATACACTTTTAAATACATCACAATATAAAGTTATGTTTGTTGATATGTCAGAGAGTGCAATTAAATGATATACATTAACAAGCTGAGCTGTCTAGCTGTGAGATCTCTACAAATGCAATTCAACTTGTAGCTGTAAGGCAACAATATCAATGAAGTTGTGGTTTGAGGAATGTCAGACCAACCAAGTTGCGTTAAGTACTATTATCATAATAATGTGTATATATATTATTAGAATTTTGCCTTAGAACCTAAAATAAATGATGATAGTAAAACCTAAAGACACAGTTTTATCTGGAGGATTAAATAAAGGATCTTATATCATGTGATCTGTTGCTTTCATTCATTTTTCGAGCTGACTATTAATTATTGTACGCCACCTTTGCACAGATTGTACATGAATGCGTGTTTTTGTGTGTGATGTAACCCTATATGAATACAGCTGTTGACCCAGGGCATGTTATCTGGTATCCCAAAGTAAATATATACTAAGTAAATAAAATAATCACAAAATGTTCCTGCTTTCCTCTCCTCATATGAGCCGTGATGAAAACGACACAAAAGCCCACGCTGATCAAATATCGAACATTTCATAGAGGATGAATGCAGGTTGGTAGAAGTGACCTGTCAGCATGGAGCCGTTAAACTGTCCTCAGACTACTTTGACAGCAGACATTGTTTGTGATAATCTCTACTTAATCTGTATCCGCCCAAAGCTTTTTAATACCAAATCCCACATGATTTAATCTCCATTTGGAGCTTAATGTGTCGTTGCGTAAGAGAGATGTTGCCATCCAAAAGCAATCACTCTCCTCTCATCACTTCCTCCCACACAGACATGAGAAGTAAAAGCTTAAACACACACACACACACACACACACACACACACACACACACACACACACACACACACACACACACACACACACACACACACACACACACACACACACACACACACACACACACACACACACACACACACACACACCACACACACACACACACACACACACACACCCCACACACACACACACACACACACACACACACACACACACACACACACACACACACACACACACACACACACACACACACCACACACACACACACACACCTCTGTAACTCACAGTATAAACATGACTTGTCAACATCACCCAGTTATCTGATAATGGAAGTGACATTTTGAAGGTTCAACACAGATTATGTATTCAGTTCACTGACTCACCTTATTATTAATACTGCTATATATACACTTTCACACATCCTCACTTAGCAGAACTCCTTTTTCCACGGTAGAAACACCTCAACCCCTATTTAACTTGTGCTGGTAGCCCAGGGACTTCTTATTCCCCATGCACATTTTTACAGCACAATCGTTTTTTTATTTACTAATGAATTATATTCCCCTTACCTTAAAATGTGATTATTTTTATTACTGTAAACAAGAAAGACAATGAATGTATTTGACATAATTATAATTTTTTGGTAATTGTGTTCTTGCTTCTTGATCGAAATGTTGAGACACTACAGGATTTTACACTAAAAATCAACGTACTCACATGGACACAAAATGACCAAGAGGCACAGGCTGATTTATATTTAAGCTGGATATTGATTAAAGTCCAGCAGAACACAGAGAGTCAGAGAATATTTGAACTTCCAAATAATGTAGGATTATTGGTCCTTATTATATTTATACTATCCTGATGCACATATTTCAGTACAGTAAATAAAAGGAAAATTCAAAAAACGTTCGAACTGAAACTACTTTTGAGTTATAGATTAATGTATCTCTCTATTCATAGATGTGATGTGGATGTCTCTAATAATAGACAACCAAACTTTTGGCCAGTTTTCAGCAAACTATTGAACAACGATATAATGATGACACTGCACCGTCATTGTGTGGACTGTTTTTTTCACCTTCCAGCGGCTGTTCTGATTTGAAGGGTGTGTCCGCGGCGCTCAGGCTGCTGGTGGAGTTTCCCAGCAGGTCAGGAAGGGAGGAGGACACAGACACCACCGAGGGTTTCCTTCTCCACTTTAACACTGATGGGAACTCGTCAACCGCCGGGAACTCGTCTGGAACCGGGTACTCATCCTGTGGCAGAGCAGAACACATCGAACTGAAGGAGTCACACAATCACTGCAAGCAGTAATGATTCATACATCTTAACATTTGACAGAAAAACCTGGACACCTGGACTTATCAACAAACATGCATTGCAAACATTAACTTATTCAGTGGCTTCCCAAATATTTCACCCCAAAACATGTAGGGAGGTCGACATGTGACATCAGGTCAACAGGTATTTAGCAAGGTTCATTTAGCATTATCATTGTTTACTTCAATCACATTGTTATGTTGTGCACCCATGTTGCCAAGTTGTCAATAAATACATGTTGGGCTATGTAAGGGGTCAAACAATCCAACACATGATAGGGACTTTTTCACAATTTGGCAGCCTGAAAGTTGTGGAAGATTATGACCTCTATTAAGTTTAAAACTTTGAAGGCCTTTCTGCTAAACCTTATGGAAGCTACAATGTATCGAGATTTTCTGCAGGGCGACTGAATATTCTTGATGGTTGGAATTGTTCATGCAGGTATGTCTTTAAATAATGAAAAACAGTAAACAAAATTGGGGGACTTCCAGTTTCTGTGTTACAGAGTAAGTAAAGCTATATAAAATGCTGGCAAAACTAAACAACGTTTTTATTCAAATACTTTCAGTCAAATGATAGCTTAATCAAGTACGGGCATGCTAACAGAACTAAATGACAAAATACAAAAGCTGTTCTGTCACAGTGGCCTCATAGCGCACGCACAAGGTGACTTTTCTCAGAGCTCTGATAGCATCTTGCAGACTCAGGGGATAATTCACTGCAGCAGCTGCAACAGAATGATCTATTGATACAGTGTGTGTAAGAAGGTAAGTCTGCCATATAAGTGAGAGTTTTCAGAGGCCTTTAGACCAACATGAAACACAAATACTAACAATACAGAAATGTCATACCCGAGGATTACTAGTTGTGAAGTTGTACAGCTTTGATCTTTATAGTTTTACGACGGTTTATGAAAGACATGTGACTGACCAGCGATAAGATCGGCTCCTCCATGAACTGCTTCAAGCTCAGGCTCTTCCCATTGACCTGGAGAGGGAAAAGGAAATTGCCTCTTTAACTGTCACGTACACTGCAGTGTATATAGACTGAGTAAATAGTGTGTGTGTGTGTGTGTGTGTGTGTGTGTGTGTGTGTGTGTGTGTGTGTGTGTGTGTGTGTGTGTGTGTGTGTGTGTGTGTGTGTGTGTGTGTGTGTGTGTGTGTGTGTGTGTGTGTGTGTACACGTGTGTGTACGTGTGTGTACGTGTGTGTATGTGTGTGTGTGTCTCTGACCTGTAGGTGAGTGCAGATCCTGCGAAGGACATCATAGACACTGTCTCTTGATAGCAGAGATACAAATACATACTGAGGAAAATACAAAAGAGAAGGAATGGTATCAAAATCTTGTTCTCATACTGAGGTGTTAGAATATTTGTATTTGCAGCCATAAAAAGCACATGATAATACATTAAAATGAATAGGAAAAAGTAAAACATTGAATAATTTGGGGTAAACAACACTTCAGGGATTCATAATCTGGGGCACAAAGAGTATATTTGTATTATTCTTTCATGGAAATAACAACAGCTCAGTGTTAGCTTACCCACTTATCCCTCTGACCTGGATGAATGTTATTGGTATCTAAATAACTTAATTTGTTAGCATTTGAAGCACTGTTATTGTGTGAGCAGTGTATCGGTTGGTTGTGTCCTGTTGTATCTCTCCTCCTGACACAGGCATGTTGGTGGAGGAGCAGAAGAATTACAAACAATCCTGGACTGTTGTTACAGACACGAGCTGTGAACTTTTATCTCATAAACAGCAGGACCAGCCTCTTAAACATCACTGTACAGAGCCATGTATGTTTGCATGGTTATGTAATGCATATTACACAATCACATAGACGTATATGGTAATGGATATTCGCCTTGAACGTTATGAGACACACCATCTGCTGCAGTGTTCACCACTGGACTCTGCATTATGGGTTGGATTATAGTTGAGTAATATTCACTACTGGCGGGATCTATTTCCTTATTTTCTGCAATAGGCCAACCTCAGAACAATTGAATGATAACGTTTTGCAAAAATAGAAATATAAACAACAATTTTACACTGCTGGGTTGTGGTTTCACCTGCCAAGCTAACATGTTCATTTAAATACTGAAAGAGAGGAAAGCACGCAAACACATTTCATTCCACTAGTAAAAATCAGCCCAGTCGCTCGCTTTATTAATAATGAATGATTTGTGTTATGAATAAATGAAAGCTGCCAAACAAGGTGCAATACTCAAGCACTTTTATGTATGTATTTATAATGTATAGTTGAGTATAAGACAGTCTGTGGAACATTTCTGCTATTTCTGAACTTTATAACGACTGGAAAGACTCTGAGGAATCAGCTCTTCTGTCAGCCTGATGTGTGCCAGCCCTGGAAACGTGCAGAATATTCTGTAATCTACCTACCTAGAAAAGAGAGCGATGGAATGGACTGTATGGATTTGAGCTAAATTGCTAACATGCTATTTTCCATAAATGATAACTTGTTTATAATTAGTCATTATAATGTAATAATTCATGAAGTTTAATGCCCCTGCCAACCTCTGTAGTCTCATTTAGCCACTTGCCCTTTTTTACGATTTCCAATTCATGAGTGGGGTATTAAGTGACACATTTGATTGTGTAAAATAAAACGCTAAAATCTCTGAGGCCTGTGTTAACTAGGCTAGAATCTAGAATAGAAATGTGTACCAATTTAGCATTTACATTAACATGTGCTCTCTCTTTGCAAAACAACCCACTGGGTTAACATTAAATGGAGTTTTCATGTATTGTTTGGTGGTTGTTATTTTTTTACTTGAGGATACAACACCTAGTTGTCACCACATGCTAAAGAAAGCTCGCTGAAGATTATTAATGGGTTGCTGGGGCTTGAACAGGAGCTAAGAAGTACATGATGTCTTTTAAAACACCACTTGATGCTAGGCTGAGCCTGACGTGACAGGAAGTTAAGAAGCCCCTCTGACTGTAATGGTGGAAAATCCCATAACTCTCTCATACCACAGGGCCGTGACTCCACTCTGCTTTTATCTATAGTATGCCGTTCATTTTTCCAGCACATCTCTCCTGGAAAGTACAGCCGTGCTTATCAGTATAAGTATTTTAATTCACAGCGTCTGTAGTGGAAGTGTTCACCTTCTGTCCGGTGTCTGTGGTGATGGCCAAGCCATTTGGTACCAGACCCGCTGTTTTGTGCTTCTTGACCAGTCTTACGGAGACGACAGGGATAGCCACCTTGAGAAGACAGAAAAAGGCACAAAAACAACAATCATTTAATGATGGGGAAATTATAGATAAGATAAACAACACCTAGGTTTCAGTAAATGGTGGCAGGGAAGTAGGACATTGAAATACACTCAGGAAAAGCCCCTGGAAAACAGCAGTAGTGGACATGAAACGTGTCTTATTTCATTCAGAATGTGAGGAATGCAGTCTGAATAAGCAGCTTATTGTCACTCGCATGTCAGCAGAGGTTTGGTTTCAAAGAAATGAAGGAAAAGGAACAATGCACAACATCAGAGAGAAAATCACACAGCTTAAGGTTGAAGGTTCAGTAAGTCTACCTGTTCTCAGGACATTATCTCTCACAAATAAAGAGAGTCCTTTTCAATGTGTGAGCATTACATCGGTGACACTGTGAGTCAGCCTGTAATCCTGAATGACTTTCAGTCAAATAATCTGTGGAGCTGTCCAATCAGCCGGTCAGATTGTGACTGGGAGACACTGGGTTTGTGTTTGTCAGTCAGTTTGAGTTTATTAAGCTGCCTGTCAGTCTGTCGTACCTTGATGTCCTTGCCGAAAAGGTTGGCATAGAAACACAGCCAGTTTCTGGAGATGTAGAGCCGGCCTTGTAGAAGAATATCTCTGAGGAGAGCGCATGAGTACACTGTGAACAGAAGAGACACAAACATGTTTTAGTTTCGTTTCACAATTGTAATCTGGATGAAAACAACATACACAACAAAACAATATCTCTGAACCCTCTTATTGTCTCCCTAGCATTTTGTTAATCAATCAATATCTAAAAATTCACAACATTGTTTATATTTTGATATAAATTTGTGGTAATCCTGGCTGAACTGTGGGAACAGAAGAGTTCATATTGTGCTAGAGACGTTGTTCATCCTGAATGTGTTCCTGAGATTAAACAGATGAAAGAATCAAAGATGAACAGCGAGCCAAGACAGCTACTTCAAGTGACTAACAAGCTGAAAGAAATAATAATAGAATATGTACTAGAGATTGTTTTATAGGGCTTTTGAAAGTACACATGCTATTGATAAAAACGCAGTAGCAGAACATTATACCTGCGACCACTTGTAGTGTAGTATTTTGTACAAATACTGTACATTTGAAGATTAGACCTTAAAAGATTCTGTAACATGTTATGAAAACAAAATACATGGTTATCACAGGACACTGATGCTACAAACTGTATTGCATTACTGTAGATTTAAATACAGTATGTAAAGTAATTAACATAAAAAAGCATTCAATAAAACATTATAGCAGCAGTCTTATGAATCCAAAACAAACATGCAATATAACTAACACCTGGAGAAACATTATACTGCACAATGAGTACTTTAATCTACTTTACTTTGAAACTTAAAGTGAATTCTCAAACTTCATACGTGACAACAATGTTTTGAATGCAGGACTTTAACCTTGAAGTGGAGTATGTTTTTATATTGTGGTATAAGCACTTTTACTTCTCTCACCACTTTTAAATAGTTTGATTACTACTAAAGAAGCTATCAATGCGAATTAATAGTGTGCAATGAGTTATATTTGAGTTTAGACAAACTTTTGTCATTTATCCATCATACAGCTCTGGACAAATTATAGACAACAATGGCAGCCATTCCATTCCAGTGTCTGTTGAATTCAGAGAAATGTTGTCAGTAGTTTATAGAATAAAAAAATTAAATGAATTTTACTCAAACACATGCCTATAAATAGCAAACTGATAATGCTGCAGTGATCTCTTAATTTGTTCCAGAGCTGTCACAACATTGGATCATATTTGTGCCAAAAAAGATGTCTTATTTCAAAAAAGCCAAAGGTGAAAACTTAAAATGTTTCCAAATCTATTTGGAAAATAATTTCTGGTGACTAATTGATACATAGACTGATCCTTTAAACTCTTTAAAGAAAATATACTTGTGTCTGATATTTAATTTAAAAAGAAAGGCAAGAGAAGATTAGAAAAAAGTACAAACTCAAAACACACAAATTATACAGAGGCTGAAGCGTGACAAGTCCAACAAGCGTAAAACAGACTGATAAATTAGTAAATGAACTTGCAGCACAAACACAGTCTCAAAGTTTCCCTCCTGGTGAAGAGCACAGTACCTTTCATGAGGATCTCATCCTTGGGCACACACTGGAACAGTTTGTGGTACTGCGAGTTGTACTTGCTGACAGTCTGTGCAGAGGGACAGGGCAGAGTCATGAGGAGCTCCTTGGCCGACCGGCCCGCCTGCACCGCTCCACCGGCCCCTCCTCCACCACCAGCCACTCCGCTCGCCGCAGACACCACCCGCTCCCTCAAAGGACGGGAGCTCTGCACCAGGCTCAGCACGTTGGCCCCGTATACATTCACACACTCGCGCACATCGATGGCCTGGAGCAAGCTGCTGCAAGACACACACTGATTTCCCTGTCGCCAGTCAGTATGGGGCCCAGACTGAGGGCTGTCTACCTCTGCTCTACAGGCACCTACAGACACACACCAGGCTCTAATGTGTACACACAGAAACACACACACACTACTACAGAGTTACAGCAGCAACGCCTCAGCTTTCAACCACTGAGCTCTTTCTTCAGAAACTACAAGACTCTCTTTCTCCCTCTCAGATACACCTCCAGTGACTGTACACTTTGCAGCACCCAGCTGACTCCTCCTGCCTCCTTCACACACATACACACACTCTGCCCTTCATCACTCTGAGCTAAAAGAAACACACACACTCTCGCACACACAGGTACTCTCACTTTAAGCTCTTTCTTTCTCTGCCTTTCCGTACCTCTATCAAAGACACCTAAAAAGTCCTCTCTTTTTGGAGAGAATCACACATTTCTCCTCCATCTGAGCACACAAGAGGTTTCTCTCATTCCCTGCTCTCCTCCGACACATCTCAAACTCAACTCCAGCTATAGATATCCCTGCCACCAGACTTTCCCATGTCTCTGTCCTCTGTCTATCTCTCCTCCGACTCATATCAGCCCAGCTATGTTGTTGTCTGCTGCTCCTGTTTTTGTCTTCCTATTCATATCTCAGGCTAGAGCGGCTCCTGCCCTCAGGAATATGGCACTTACAGTACTGTAAGTGACAGTAATGCACGGGGCTCGATCACCACTCATACCCATTTTGAGTCACATGCAGGCAAATGATGAGAACCATTTTAGAAATACCTGGAGGACACTGGCCCAGATTGAGGCTTTACATGATAGTCATTTAAGATTATATTGCACTGAGCTTGTCAATAAAAATGTAATAATTTCTTCATTTCGCTTTAGAAATCTCAAATTGTGCGCAGGGGGGGTGAGCAGGGAACATTTAGACATTTGTCACACTTTTATATCAGCAGCAATGTTGACTTGTTAACATGTAATCTTATCTGATTCATAAAGATAGATAAATAAACGCAGACAATCAGATTGCAATCTGATTGCAGTGGCGAACCGTCAGGGCCTTCAAGGTATTCAGAGAATACCCTGGAACACTCAGATAAAACAAACAAAAAATCGATTTAATTATATCAATAAAATGTATATAAAATGAATAAAAATAATCGTATCTGTGTTGTTGATCTGTAACATTACAGTGTTACGTTGATTTGTTTGTCCTTCTCGGTCCATGCACTACGCATTTCAGTGGTTTTGTGTTAGAAAAGAAAAGCAACCAATCAGATATGTTTCTGGGTCTCTGGGTAGAATATCCTTCAACCAAGGTATTCTATATCCTTGATAGAATACCCTGGCTCTTACACTGAATGAGAGCGTACCTTTGGATTGACAGTTTGATCAACCTATCATATATTGATTTGTAGCCAATGGGCGTGTTCTTTCAGAGTTTCACTCGGTTCCAGGGTATTCAAGAAGGCCCGGTAGTTCACTGGCTCGAGACAGAGGATCTAGATGAATGCCACGAAGCAATTCATGCCGTTTTATTGTTTTTAACGTTGAAATGGCAAGTGCAACAGGTGAAGATGAAGTTGTTGCGGCATTGTTGTCAGTACCCTTTTCAAGACGGCAATTCAGGGAAAGGACGGACATTATAACGCCGGGGGGGGGCGAACCAATATGACAAATCAACCACTGCTGATTTGTCATATTGGGGGAGGCTTTTGTAAGCTTTTGCATCTCCCTGTCATAAAGACGTCTGTTTGAAATATCTTTCTAATCTGCAGTGAAACAAGTGAGAGAAATGTCTTTAGATCAAGTACTCAACAATAAAAGCTCTCCTCTAAGGGGACGTTTAAACAGGGAGGGAAGACACAGTGATGATTTACAGACTTACCGAGCCCCGGTAACATTTCTTCACATCTTCATAGGACAGATCTTCAATCAGCTGAAACCTGTTGTGAAGGGAAATACTACACTTAGGAATAAAATGACAGTTCTTTATACCCATGTTTACATCTAAATAGTGAACAAAACCAAAGATGTTCAGTTAAAGATGTTATATTTAACAGAGAAAAGCAGGAAGTCTCCATATTTGAGAGTACAGCATTTTCAGCCATTTTTAAATGGGACAAACTGAGTGAGTGAATGAGTGAATAAATATCCTATTACGAAAAAAGTTCCCCATGGTTTCCTGTAGATCAACAAATCATTAAGTCGTCTAATGGTAGCAGACATAACTATTATGGATACGAATAAAGAATACATATAGACTGCATGGAGCAATAATGGCAGATTGATGCTGTCATCCGACCTGAAGATACCATGGCAAATGACATGTCTAGTGTGTGTGTGTGTGTGTGTGTGTGTGTGTGTGTGTGTGTGTGTGTGTGTGTGTGTGTGTGTGTGTGTGTGTGTACATTGCAAAATCCCAGTTGGTTGAAAGCTTCCACATGACAGGTTAACCATCAGCGTGCACAGGCAAAGGCTGTCACAAAACAACATAATCACAAAGATAAATATTGAGCTGTTGAAATAAATAGTGACCATAGCACGAGTGTATCACTATTGTTCCTTTTATAGTCAGAATGCATGGGCACACACAGACACACACCTCACAGGCATCAAGCATCAAGCTCGCCTCCGGGGGGGGGGGTAGTCAGAGCAGAGCAGCAGATGTTGCAGCGTGATACTCCACACTCTCTATATCTATTGCTAATGCAGAACCACTCAGCAGATGAAATACAGTATAATCAGCCCTTTAAAGAAAATGTCACTGAAATGAACTGCCGTACCAGGTCAGATGCTGCATGCAACAATAACGTCTGAAAGGCCAAGTGTTTGGAGGGATTGTTCCCTGACAGAGACGTTCCTTTCTGCCTGTGCCTGTGAGTGCTAGGAGATTGACAGCGAGCAGAGCCCAAAGTAGAGCAGCGCTGATATGAAAACACTAGAGGAGATGCTGATAAAACAGTAGCTCTGGCAAACCAAACTGCAGCCTCATGTTTACTGTGATGGATTATCCGCCGCTGTGGGAGCCATTTTTCATTCGCAGCAACACAGAGGCATAAAATGAAGGGAGGAAATAAAGCCTTGGTCAATTCAACCCATACAGAGTCTAACAACAACAGAGTCTATATAAACTGTATATTCATAGACTCTGTTAATTTACTAATATAACACTCTTGCCTTTATGCATAATGAATAGATTTTACTGCCAACAATCAAACTTCATTTCAATTGACTTGTGTACCCTTACTTAAGTAGGATTGTTTTCATTGTGATTGCTACTTTTATTAAGCAGTAGGCAAAAGTATCACTGCATTAATTCCACCACTGATTTAAAAATAATTTCCAGAACATCATGAATCATTAACTGATGAAGTTGCTGACTTTGTGTCTGGAATATTCAACTTAAACTTTTTTATTTTAGCACAAAATCATCAACATTTAAAAATCTTTTTATATATATGTTTTTAAATGGGCCAGCCTGCTATTCAAATAGAAAATAAAAAGGCGGCTTTTGTTTACCATTGTCTGAAATCAAGGACCTGTTGAGAAACTATTGAGAAATGTGATCTGTTTATGTTAACCTTGTTCAGTGAATAGGCAGGTACATTCATCTCCAAAATATTTGTAATGAAAATCTGTCTCTCAACATGGCGGCCCTATGATTCAGCAGGTATTTAATACATCTTAACATAACAGCACATTAGTATTCCCCTTGAAAAATGTCCTTCACTGTAAACAGCAAGGTGTCATTATGTTAAAATACTCTCACTGTTGCTTTCATAACAGCAGGACGGTCTGCACCCCCGAGGAGACACTCTCCTCTGCTAAGAAGAAACTGAAACTATAAACTATGTTTTCTTCAATAATTCAAAGTAACACTCATAACACCACTGAGGATAACTTTCATGTTCACAATATTTTCTTTGTAATTTAATATGGGTTGTTCACATGTATTTATCTTTATCCATTCTTAAAGAGAAAGACAGCTGTTCAAAGACTATCATAATAAAATCCAAATGCACAACAACCGAGTAAACTCCAATACACAGATACAAACTTTTAGATACGGTTGAAATCTGCTGAGCAGTACTGCTGTATACTGTAGGCTTCAATCTAAGTGTAATATAACCCTGTATGTCTTCAAGAATTAGGCCATCCATTCTTATGTTGCCATTGTTACTGTACTTTTCTTCTCATAGAGTGAATCAGAGACAGAGATCCACAACCCAGGCTGTAAAAAGACCCACGCAGGGTTACAGTGTCACAGAGCAGAGGGGGGTGACAGATGTTATAGCTGCCTGCTGAGTGTGTGTGTGCGTGTGTGTGTGTCAGGATGAGGCGGTTGTTTACAGCAGTACAGCTGTGACAGCGCTGCCTGCTCTCAGCTAGATGCGCTACAGACACTTAAAGTGATGCATTACTCACTTCACAGCATACATTATTTTCAAAACAGCAGTACAGAAATCCACCTTGCATCCATCCAAAACCTCTAAAATGGCAAACCAGTATTTTGCCAGTTTAAAGGCGAAATTATTCATAATGCTTAGCTGTTTGACATGGAACACCTTTTGTTTTTCCACCATAACCTCTTATGTTGGGCGACATCATATTGTAAACATTTACTAAGAACCAAAAGTGTCCAAAATACATATGTTACAAATACATTTGAAGAATCAGTCATAATTGCTGCATCATTTCAATGCTGTTACCATACATTTAGAAAACACAATACTTAGGTCATCAATAACCATACTAAATTACAGCAGGTCATAAAATGAGTAAAAAGCCACCCTTTATTTGACCTTAGCAACATTTAATTATTTTATACAGCTTGTCCTAGATGTGCAAATTCATGATTCTCCTCATTACATCCCCCCCTTCTAGAAAATACATTATCTTGTGATGTGAACAATGGTGCCTGTGTGCTGCCCTCGCTGCCTGCTGGTTGCTGACGATAAATAGGTCCCACAGTGGCTCTGCACTCCCAGGTGGAGAGATGGAGTGATTATTAAAAACATGGGCTGCTCTGTGGGGACTAACCCTCTCTCACGCTCTCAATCTGTCTCTAGTTTCAAGATCCAGGTCTTAATCAATACTGCTGGTGCTAGGTGAGTGTCAGAAGAAAAAACGCTACAGGCAATCACCCTCAGGGGCTTATGTATGAGAGCTGTAGACGTGGTGTGTCAAGGTAAAGCTTCTTTTTTTTAACACATTGTATAAACAAGGTCATGCTGGGATGGTGTGAACAGGCAGTTGTCAGAGCTTCACCAAAATATGACTGAAGGGTTATTTTTGGCCATTATTCAGAAGGGTTTGATAAGAATTCTCAGGCCCAGAGGGAACAATCACATTTTCCAGCTGAAGTATAAACATGAGAATCACTCGAGCAGGATCCAGTTATTATGGTATTCACACAGCAGCAGCAGAAAGTAGGCTGATTTTCCAGGTGCCAGGAGGCTGAGTGTGTGGAGTGAACCGTCACATAGGATATAATAAAGCGGAATAACCCGAAAATTGATGGATGAAGCTGTGGTCTGGAAATCTAACAAAACCTGCTTATCATGTTATACCCCTGTGAGAATATCAAATGTATGTATGTATGTATGTATGTATGTATGTATATGTGTATGTGTGTGTGTGTGTGTGTGTGTGTGTGTGTGTGTGTGTGTGTGTGTGTGTGTGTGTGTGTGTGTGTGTGTGTGTGTGTGTGTGTGTGTGTGTGTGTGTGTGTGTGTGTGTGTGTGTGTGTGTGTGTGTACCCATGCGTCTTTTCCATTGTATCTCAGTGCCCTTGGCTGTGAGGCTGAGTGGTGAAACTAATTACAAGCTCAAAGAATCCTAAATTGAATCCTAAATTAGAAAGCGAACACCTCCCTTTGGTAGCTGGTGTAGGAGTGGACTCCCAGTCAGTCATTTAGCTAGAGGAGAAGAACTGTGAGACTTCAAAAGAAATAGGAATGTTGAGAAAAGTAGAGGAAAGTTCAAATTGGTGTATAATCAAAGTATTATATTCATAGAAAGTTTGTTTTTCTCAAGAAAAAGTTTAAGCATATTTGAAAATAGAATTTGGTCTTTTATCGCCTTCAAGTCTGCTGATATTTTCTTCTTACAACAAACCAACAGAGTGAGAACCTGTAGCTTAATCTCTATAGGAAATGATATCATCAGCAAAGCAAGTAATGTTTGATTGGTTATCTTACCAAAATACTTATCCAAGTGTTTCGTAGTCAAATATTTGTGCCCGGTTTACCCGAGGGCTGAAGATTAACTTTCACATTTCAGATAATTTCTTTATTTGCGAGTCAGTGAAATCATAACAATGTCAAAGAGTAAATAATGGAACATTCTAGTATGCGTAGATTATGTTGCATGTTTTGAGGAAGTTGATGAATATTTCAAAGCCTTTCTTTGAGCTGTAAACAATTATGGTTGGATTGATTTCAACTGAATGTTAAAGCCTATAAATGTGAATATGCACATTGAATCAAACGATCTCGCACAATGTGCAAGGAGTAACTTGTAGTGACAAACAAACAAATAATTATCACTTGTTATGCAGCTTTTAGCCTCTTTTAGCTTATAGTTTGATTATTTATAGCACATTTAATGTATGCTTGAGTCTCATCAACACCCATTGTTGCTATAATTAGCCCACTGTACGCTACCTGCCCCGCACTAAAGGCAACACAGACAAAGTTAGTGACTAGCTGGTTAACATTATTAACCGTTATTGCAGTATCAAGCAGTTTTAGAGCCAGATTCTAAAAGTAAGTTGGTGGAGACCAAAACAGAGCTGAAAGAGAGTGAATATTATATCAGTTGGCCTGATACCTGATTATGTAAATGTATCTTTGAGTGTCCTGGATCAATGATCTGTTTCCTAACTCATAACCATAACAACTTATAGGCAAGTGATATGTGGTGGCTGTGTATTTGTCATATTTGTTTTAATCAATGAATGACATATATAAATAAATCATTTCATTTCAAACCTTTATTTAACCAGATGGTCCCATTGAGATCATAGATCTCTTTTTCAAGGGAGACCTGCAAATACTTATGTAAACTGTGAAATGTATGTTTAACTGTATGTAAATATATGACAACTTGAAATAGAAAATGCAGCAGCAGTGGAGCATTGAGGGGAGTGCCACAAGTTCAAAACTGACAGGTGCATAAGGTCACTCCCATTCACGGAGTGTACTAACACCAATTATGCTTCAGCGCTAAATCCCATCTCAGAACAGATTCCCCAGGATTAAGCAGTCCCTCGAATCCTCCTTATATAACACACTGACACACCAACATTGTGCATAGGAATTATTGCACACAAATATGTTAAATGTGGGTAAAACACTTAGTATAAATACAGCAATGTATACTTTATTAGTCATACATATATTCTCTTCAGGCCTTTGGTGAAAACATTTAAAATGTTCCCTTTGTAAATCTCTGTTTGTGGTCTCTTTGCGTGCATGTGTGTGCATGTTGGACCATTGTTTGACATCAAATACAGCTGAAATAAAAGCACAAAATAAGTGCTGTGAAAATAAATCTCCTGGGGTTGTAACCCATGACCATGCACAGGATACAGATGGTGTGCGGGGAAAAAGACAGCAAGTGTTGCAGAGCAGTGTGTGTGTGTATGTGTATGTGTGTGTGTGTGTGTGTGTGTGTGGGATTTGCCTGAAGTGGCCGTGCGTGTCGTCGTCCTTGGAGTGGTCCAGGTCCTGTGTTGAGAGCAGGCCTGTTTCTTCGCTCTGCTCCTGCTGCTCAGTCATGCTCCTGGCCCTAAACACACAAACACAGCGCTCCGTGTTAACAGCAGGAACCTCTGCACCCGACAGTCATGTACACTTGTAAAGAACTGTTTGTTTTTGTCCCAAGGTTTGGATTCAAAGAGAGCTATAACCCCAAAAAAGGGTTATGGGGCAAAAGCAAATGGACTCCGTGTTCAAATCAACACAGCTGTGATGCAACATTCAAAGTCTGATTCTGCAGGTTTGCACTACATTAATGGTCTGGCAAAAAAAGCTGTGTTCTTGTGATTGTGCAAATGGGGTCTGTGTCTGCGCTCACACAGATGTCTACAAAGGAAAAGAGCACCTCAGAGGTTGTGCAGATGGCTGACCTGATTTTCTGTTGTGAGCAGAGACTATAAAGTTGTGAGCTGACTCAAACAGTTCTTTTCCAAAAAACGTAAAACACCTCTTTAAAATGAACTATTACAGGTATCAAAAGAAGGAGAAGAAAGAAGAAGGGACCAAGAATATGACCATGAATTGTCTTTAGTGAGATGTTTTCAAACAGAGACTTACATTTCTTCCAGTGGGTAGTGATTGATAAAAGGTATAGCAATACACAACATGAAAACACTAAGGAACGATGCGACTTTAACTCTGAGGACACCCAGTTTAACATTGACTGTGATGGATTATGTGATAGGGCTGAACGATTAATCGATTTTAAATTGAAATCGCGATTTGAAATGATGCAATTATCAAATCGCAAAGCCTGCGATTTATTTTAGTTTTTCTTTTTTGTTCTTCTTGTGTGTCAGTCATCCACACCAATCAGAACAGAAGTGCTGTGCTCCACATGTACCAGCCATTGTTAACCAATCAGAAGTGGCCCATGATAGAAGGTGATAGACAGATTGATCCAATCACCTGCCAAGTATTTTGAAATACCTTTCCAAATGGCTTCCAATGGAGCTTTCCTAGATGGTTTGGTGAAACAAACCATCTGAGTCAGGTTAGTAATGCTCCATCACATGTTTCTATTACAGGGTGAATCTTAAACTGAAGCTTGAGTTTAAAGCAACCCAACGGAAGTTTCATGTAAGTTTAGTTCTTTCACTCGTAGCTCGGGCTGCGGGGGTGCTAGAGACGGGAGCACGTTGATACGACCTTCCTAACCGGAGATATGGCCGCATTTTACAATAAACTTCCGTTGGGTCGCTTAAAAACAAATATCGCAAATAGAATCGCAATATCTGTCAGAAAAATCGCAATTAGATTATTTCCCCAAATCGTGCAGCCCTATTATGTGACTCAGGTCATTTAAAGACAGGACTGGGAGATACAGCCACAACCTTCCCTCTGGATTAAGGTCTCTGTTTAAGTAGCTGTGCCTGTACATCTTCCTGTTAGATAAGTACATAACTGTTTATCCATTTATTTAAACTTTATCCATTGGCTTTAACCATGAATGTAGACTTGGATATAGCAGAGGCCTGATTCCTTGCTATTAAAGTTGCTCAATGGCCTGGTCTCCTGCTCACACAATTAAATGCCAGTTACAAGGAAAATTGTCTATTTTACCAGACAGTGACATAACTAGCTATTCTGACATCAACTATTCAGCTAACTGTATGACTATTAGCGGTTTAATAGTTTTTAGTCTGTTGTCTTTAGTTACCAGTTACAAATTCTCAATTTGTTTGATAAATATTGTTTTACACACGCTTAATTCAAACGCATAGTGTTATGGTGCCTTCATACCGGATCAACTGGCTCAGCATGGTTTATGTGCTCTGCATTCATCCATGCATAGGGAAGCTCACTGCTGTAAATCTACCAAGACCAGCAACACACAAATACAGTTTAACACATTGTTCTGGCTATATCTTTAATATAATCCTAATTAACGTTTTTAAATGTTTTCATTATTTGAACAGTCTTCCACACCATTGTGGTATACAATGCATTGTTTGGGAATCTAGATGATACATCTTGTATTGTCCTTCAAATGCTTTGCAGTGTTTTTATGAGACAGCACAAGTAGTGGAAAGCTTTATAAATCTATTATGTTTTCTCTTCTCATCTGCACAGCAGCAGCCACCTGCCCTGTGACACATTTTCCTCTGGGAGAGGGGAAGTTGTTAGCACCTGCGCCGCTATAATGACAGGTGCTGATGGAAAGAGGCTCCTGCATGCAGTTTCCAGTGTATTATCTCTAATTAGCCAGAAGCTTCACGTCACACTGACCTGTTCAAACAACAAGGGCTTCTTGCTCCTAGAGGTTTTACTTGTGACTGATCACCTGTGATCACAGAGGGTTGAGTGGGGGATTCATAGTTTGTTGTTGTAGATAAGGAAAGGCCTTAAGCCTGATGGTAAGGGATTCAGGAGGGTATCTGATCCCACATATGGGCCTAGAGCAGAATGAAGCCTTGTGTTGCTGTTTCTCTTCACTTAAAAACATCTTCACACTGCCCAGTTGTGTTTAGCTGTTCTTTGTAGGGAAATAGTTAGAAGATAATAATCAGATTTTCTGGAACAGGAGTGAGGGCAAAAATACTATTTTAAGGAAGTACTTTTCTAAGAATTAAATGTTCTGGGAAAATCATTATTGACATGCATGTTTTAATATTTGAACTAAAGAGGTATGTAGTTTGGTCAACTGTTGTGATTAAAACATCCTAAGGAGGATTGACTTGTTTACTTGAGTGACATAGGAATCATTTCTGACCGCAGTGCATTTTGTGTTTAAAAAAAGTTTTTTTTGCAATGTTATGTTAATGCTTAACTTCTAAAAGACAAAGCTATATACGTTTTGAAACCATTTTTGAATTTGAATGAAAGCCAGCATGCAGGCATGTGAAACAAGGTCAGTTTGTCACCATATTTTTTGTTAGGGCCCTTTATGACACTTTCACTGCTCGCTGGAATATTTTTAAGCATGTGTCCATTGTGTCCGACCACACAACCGACTGGGTGGCTCTGTATCGACCTCACCGACAATTTGTTTGTCATTTTGGCTCTTGGTCACGCAGTTATTTACACAAACCACCTGGGATAAACATACTCTTTGAGAGGAAAAACCTTTTTAGCCATGAATATTTTACCGACTTTGTTCTTATTTTGTCTCTGCAGGTTTTCCGGGAAGTAAAAGTAAATAAACAACAAATGTTCAACTTTCGGATAGGCCTACAAAAATACGTCATCACTGCTCTACAGTTGATACATCTTGCCAAAAAGTCAGCAGGTTAGTAACACTGTTATCCCGCCCTTTAAAGCCTTCCTCTAAAGCCACTCTGCTAACATTTGTATCATGAATGCAAACACATCATTAGGCCAAATTAAGTAATTGGACAAAGCTATTGCAGTCTTACGACAGCCACAGATATCCAATTTTGTATTTTTGTTTTGTATTCACCGCTGTTAGGATGTAAATACAATTTTAACAAATAAAAATAAAAAATGTTTTTAAAGAAGTTTAACCCCCCTAGCTTTCAGTCCTTTCTAATATCATTAAACGTTGCTTTAGTGTTGAATATGTTTACAATTAATCAAATGACCACAAACCAATTCCCACATGAGCCTGCAGCTTTTGATGGGTTAGTGACTGGTTTCTCCCGGAGCTTTGGGGGGCGCCAGTTGCTTTGTGTAGTAGAACCTAACCTATACTTGGAGGTATTAAGCAGCATTTTCCTTCACTGCTATGTATACTTACACCAGAGAGTTAAAACAGTGTAGTAGAAGAAATGGAGTGATGTGGAAAAACTTAGAGCCCTTAATCTTTCTAAATAAACAGGAATGTTACTTAATCTGTTTTTCAGCAGCAGTTCCAGCTCATCTAAACAGTCCTAACACACTGCAGACATGGTTTGATGTTTCCCTTTTCTAAACACTGCATTTCCCCCAAGACAATACACACATCTTTCCTTAAAACAAACAAGTACACCATGACTTCACATTAGAACAGAGAGGTCTGTACATGTGAAACTATAAATAACCTCCCTCTAGCTTCTATCTTTGAAACATTGTTAATTAAAAGGCCTACGCCTCTTCTCTTCTATGTTCTTTTTTTGTCTCAGGAGCCAAACATTTTGTGATGTCACAAGACATCCTCCAATCCAATAAACTATAATCTTGTTAAGGCTGCTAGTCACTGTGAGTGTTGCTGAAGAATCACGTCACTGCCTTTGATCGGCCAAAAGCTTTCCCAAGATATACAAAATACTGTGGCAAATAAAAGAGATCTTAAAGAACTTTAAAAAAAAATGTATGTGCAAGATTTTCAAGTCTCTTAGTGTGAAGCAGACTCCCCATCATGACTGGCATACAACTTTCTAAGCAATGTGGTCTGCTTTGTTTACAGTGGGGGTGTAGAGGCAAAGGTTTAATTTGTCTGGAAAGCTGAACTTGGGTTTTGTCTTATTATGAAATTCAGTCTGCAATCTTAGGGGCAGTCCACATGGTAGGTTTCTCTTTAGTGTGTAACACTTTTATATAATATTTGTTTTCTTTTTATTGCACATTAACTTAATATATTATTTTAGTATTTCATAGACACAGTCAGTTTATGAAACTAGAACAGAAGCCTTTGGACTCTGCACTGCTTGAGACCTCCTGAAATAACCTCCCCATTGTGCAAGCACCTCAAAACAGCCTTTGATGACAGTATGTTTCTAAGACAGATCAAGGCTTCAAATGTTCTTGTTACATAATTGTATATGGAGCACAGTAACTACTGTTTACTGGGATATCTAAAAGGGATTTAATGGAGGAATAGTTTTGTAAAAATATGTTTTGTGTTTGATGATTTCATTGTCTCTTTAAGAGATCAAACATTAACTAATTTGTTTATTTTTATGTGTTAAAGTTAATAATACTTTAAAGTATAAAAACACTGCTATTGGAAGTAGCAGGTTCTTATAACACTTTTAAGCATCAATATAGACTGATCTGAGCTAGGTCTAGTAGCCTCCTGTTTTATCACTGTTAAAAAGCAGTAGTAGTCATTACACCTCACTCACATGTTTCACTTTAAATGACAACTTTAAATATTACTTCATGCACATGTTATGCCTGAAATGTAAATGAGACATAGCACCTGCCTTTCTGAATAAATCTGCCCTTTGTCATCAAAAGCAGAAACACTTGTCGAGAATGTCAAAACAGGCAAGTTTCTGATGGAAACAGGAAGAGATCCTTCAGAATAAAAGAGGAACATTTTTAACTTTAGGAACTCAAACAGTATACAGGCTTAATGGGCAATACTTGACAAATACTGTTGAATCCTAACTACCATACATACAAACAAACATCAATTAAAATGATTATTCCATGACCATCCTGCTATATTTGGTACTGTTGCATTTACTTTGAAATATTTTCAACCGGAAGTCACACTCTACCGCTTTCTAGCTTGACGTCGGATAACGGCTCCTACCTGTAGCTTCAACAGACACTGTGACTTTTTCCGCCCTTTTGTCGCTTTGTAGCTGCACGAAACTCCTCCGGTCCGTGCTTCATGTCTCGGTCAAATCATCTCAAGTACTTTATCCACGAAAAATCGACATTAAACTCCAAGATGGTCACGAAAACGGCTGCAAGCTAAAAGACAGAGTGAGCGGCTGTGACCTCCTGAGAAGTGTGTCCTGTGTGAGGTGGGTTGAGCTTACCTACAGCCGGGCGGGCTGTGTACACACTGCCGGGGGATTACACTGACGCTGGTCTGCTACCACAGAGGCTCCCAGAATAACTTAACGAGTCCTCATTAATTGAAACTACAAGACTAAATAAAAAGTCTGCCAGGGCATTTTTTGTTGTTGTAAATTAATGGCTTCTAAGCTGTTCCCCCGGTGAGGCTTGTTTAATAAGATCCTAATGATACGTAGGATATTCATATCTGTTTAAAGTAGAAATAATATAACCAAAAAAACGTAAAAGTTGTACATTTAGAATGTAATTTATAGTTCATTTACAGTCAAAAATGTGTTTGCCTATGATGTTAATGTCTCCTCAAATGTCTGACCTTGACTATATCAGCTTCTGTGCAAGGTTTGACACTGGAGAGTGGTTTTCACAGTCCTCTACTTACAGTAAGGGAGAGATGTCTGCAATTCCCAGAAAAATCTAAATGTAAACGCATCCCGGATAAACTAGATTAGGTACATTACACATTTCTCAAGTTCTCTTCAACACCTGTAACCTCAGCGAAGAGTGGACTTGTCAATGTGAGAGCATTTGCAAGTGTTAGCATTAGCTTAGCAAAAGTTTTGACAGCAAACATGGTAAAGTGTGCTGTTGTGGACATAAACACGACCCTGAAGCCTCCTTCCACCACCCTCTACCAAAAGTCCCACTAGATATTATTGTTTATGTTTTACAACCACTAACACTGTCAGCCACTGCCAAATAAAAGATACTAACTAAATGTACCATTCTGATTAGTGTATTTGGCGGCAATTTTGGGGCACAGAAAACTCCACCCTAGTCCAAAATGTATCTCTGCAATGTTTACCCTAACTAGAAAAAGTGAGCAGATGTCTAAAATTATTGCTCCGAGCTAATATTAATATTGATGCATTTATAGCCTAGGATTAAGTGATTTTAACTACTGTTTATAATGCTATGTGGCTGAAAGTCCATCCTCCAATCAGCACACAACTACAATCATTTATGAACAAGAAGTGCCACTTTTTAACCACTGATACTCAGGATGAGTTTCAGTAACCAGGGTTCTGTCTAAACAGGGTAAAAGGGGCGCTGCACCCTCTTACTTTCGGCGTGCGCCCTCATACCAAAATGCAGATTTTTCCCGTAACATTTAAAGTGATGCCAGAAAACAATATTTCTGTTTGTCAAAAATGGTATAACTACTCAAAGAATGTGAAAATCGTGTCAAAAAGACCGCCAGACAGCATAGACAGCCTAGCTTATACTGAACTCCGAGCAGCATACTGCATGTCACCTATAAATCACCAACTATTTGTTCCCATCGCATGTTTCCAAAATTCACATGTCCAAACTGCTAAATATTTACAATGTGTAAAGAGAAGAAGATAAGATAATAATATAATTTACTGCTGACAAGGAAGATATGACACTAACCGATGCAGCTAGCTGCACACTCGCCCAAAACGACCCACATTAGTCATGATTGAATCCATTGCTTAGCTGTTGTCATCCATTTATTCCAACGTATGCATGTACCTATTTGATATCCAGAGGCAAAAACACCTAAAATGTGGACACAAACTGTACGTCCTAATTTCTACCATATAACAAACACTAAAAATAATCTCAGAGTAACATTTCATTGTTCAGCTACACAATGAATGTTAAAACAAATCACGAGGGACGTCTTCCTGATTCTTAAGTAACTTTACCCTCCACATCAAACTTGGCCCAGTTCAAACCTCCTCATTCTCCACATGTCCTCCTCTGTGATTGGCTGGGAGGTAATAAGACCCATTAACTAAGTCTCAATTGCCTTCTTGTAGTCGCCTTGTCAGTGACACTCATGAGAAGCATGCCAAGCGCTAAGCTTACTTCCTGTGTGCTGCAGACTGACCTGGCTCTGCCGGCTGCTATCCGCTGGCTGCAGTTACCATGAGGGTGGCGGTGGTGGGGCAGCTGGTAGTATCTGTCCTGTCCGGGGGCCTCTTCAGCGGGCAGGGCCTTAGGGCTGGCTGCGTAGATAGTGCATCCCATGAACACCTCCTGGAAGTCACCCTCGGTGTCCTACAGCGAGCGGAGAGGAGCGGTCCTCAAGGTATCCTTCCTCTGCACGGCCTGTCCCGTCCTGATGCCAGCCAGCTGCTCTGTGGAAAGCCATTGGCTCAGCACTTTGCTGTCTTAACCCCTCCTTCCCTCTGCATCTCTCTCCCAGCCTCCCTCCCTCTCTCTCTCTCTCTCTCTGGCCCTCCTCCCCCCTCTGCTGAGCTGAGAGCATCGAGGATAATCAGATTCCACATTTACACTCAACAAAATCATCCCCAGAGTAATCGCTCCCTGTCACTGATGTTGCATTATGCTAATGCACCGACGCAGCCTCAGGTTAGGAGCATTAGGAGCAGTTAAAAATATCCTAACGGATAGGGAGGGAAGCTGCAGCAGGTAAAGTTTGTTTACGTTTGAGTGCAGCTGGAGAGAGAGGACAGTTTGACAGCTGGTCGAACACTCTGCTGGGGTTGCAACAAATCATTTTGGTTTTCTTTCCATTACGGTAATTGCTCAGTCCCTAAATTGTCATAAATTAGTGAGAAATGCTCTCTGCAGTTTCCCAAGGCTTAAGGCAATCTTGAAATGGCTTTACGTTTATTTTAGCAATACATCTGCAATGATTAGTTGTCAACTATTCAATAAATCACAAACTATTTTGCTAATCAATTTATCGGTTTGACTCAACATTTTCTGATACTATAGTTACTTAAATGTTAGTTTTCAATGTTCATCATCTTGGGCTTTGGAAACTTTGTTTTGTCTCCCAATTTTCTGACATTTTATAGACCACACAACTATTTGAGTACTCGCTAAACTGATCTACAGATTAATCCAAAATAATTGTTAGTTTCAGCCACACTGATCAACAGTCCAAAATGTTTTGATACTAAGAAAAATGGGAGCAAAGCTTTTGCAAGCAAATGATTGGCATTTTTTCATGACAATTGATTCAAAGACATGTAAAAACGTTGAATAAATTCTGCTGGCACGCACCATAAGTACGCACATGCATTAAACTCAAGGTTCTCTGTAGAGTGATGTGCTCCTGTAGTGCTACAGTGCGCTGCTCCTCTGATCAACAGGTGGGGGGAACACACTAAGTTATGCTGCAATACACCAGAAACAGCAGGCGTCAAGCTAGTAAACATAGATGATAACTATCTAAGACAGGGGTGTCCAAACTATGGCCCGGGGCCATTTTTTATTGGCCCACAGCTAATTCTAAAAGTATAATGGAATATGGCCCACACATGAAGCTTGTGCTTTTCTTTCATTTCACTTCTTAAATATATGAACATATATTACACAGTATTCATTGTTGTTATGTCCGTGTTAATAAGCCCTATTTTCAAATAAATTCATTCAATTAAAGTCAAAAAACAACAAATCTTAGTTGATAAAAAAAAAGCCCAATAACTTATTTGCATAACACTCTTTAATAACTGTGTAATATATACCTGGCTGCTAAATCCTTAGAACTGTTACAAGATGTGTATTTTGTAAATTGTGTAACTTTAAATGTTTTATCATAACTTAGTACTTTTTAATGCATGTAACATATGTAACATTAAGCTGTCTGTGGCTCTTTTTTCTGCTGTAACTACGTACATTTCCCCTCTGTGGGACTAATAAAGGTATTCTGATTCTGACTCTGGAAGTATACCTTTTATACAGGGCTGTGAGGGGAGAGCAACAGCTTCTGTTTTAATAAGGAATGAGCTGCCAAGACATTTTGTAACAAAATAAATGAAACTTTATAGAAAACTGTGTTAATAATGAATTTGCCTACATTGATTGATTTCGCTAACTTATAACTTCACTTATGAGACAATATACCTGACCTCTAGTGAAGGGCCCAGCCCTTCTTAGATCTTTATGTATGTGGCCCTCAGTGAAAAAAGTGTGGACACCCCTAATCTAAGATTTAAATACGTTTCCAAACTTGAATTTGCAGTTTTATGAAGAATGAAATGCACTAGACACGTTTGTTGGAAAGGACACAATACAGCATTGAAGAGAAGCTTTTCTCTGCAGCAGATGACGCACATATCATTCTGCAGAGTCATTCGGTGGAGTAACAGCAGTTAAATTAAATGTCATGTATGTTGTGTTGAAACAATCCTGCTCTAGAACAGGAAGCTGGTCAGCAGTGAAACTACAGTACAGCTGAGGCTTACTGCGTCTCCTTTAGACACTGCTCTCCTGTGGCCAGAACACTCAGTGCAGTTTCATCTCATGTCAACAGATTGTGTGGCCAACGGGTTACCCTTAATTAAAAACATTTAAGTAAAGATAATGATCTATTTATACTTATATTGTAAAATAAAGTATTCTGTAAAGATAAATGATTGGTTCCTAGTGCCTGTGATCTTGTATTTTCAAGCGTAAACATTACTTAGGAGATATCACACGGACAAACATAGTAGTTACAGTATTATCTTATTTCCACAGCATCCACAGAGCCAAGGCAATTGAGCAGTTCCCAGGACAGATCGTCTCATAAAAAGATTTATTTTTTTCCAGCCCAAATTTACAAAGGCAAGTTACAGAGTATTGTATAAAAAAGAACCATGGTAATGTACACTTTACACAAACTCCTGAAGGGAGGGAGAAAGGAGGTGAGGGTGAAGAGTTCTGAATTTCTCACATAGAAAGAAAATGAAGACATTGTAAACATCCTTGCAAGCACCAGAACCGGCACTCTGGGGGAGGGGGAGGGGGAGGGGGGGCTGTGTGACAGTAGGTGGGTCAGGAAAAGGACAAAAGAGCAAGTGTCTCTGTGTTTTCACAGAAGAATGTTCAACTAGGCACCAATTGAGACAACTGCTGGCCAATAAATATACTCTTCACCATGAAACAAATACAGTCCTGCAAAATACAAGAGCCAAGCACTTTCCAATATGTTGATAGCAAACATTACTTTTCTGGCTTTTCATACACTTCAGTATATATGATTTCACTGG